TATATATATAATGTAAGGTTTTTGCAACTAAGAACACAACTTTCAGCCTGTCTTCAGTGATTTCAAAGTGTATCCTAACCTTTTAGGGCCTTCTCTGTTTTATTCTCTCTGCTGACTGTTTCCATTAAATCTGTCTTGGAACTGAGCCATGATTTAGAAAGCACAAACTAAATATTTAAATCTACTTTTACTACATATAGATTTCATTTATGCTTTTATCTGTTTTTTATTTAAGCTTTGAGCTTTCATGTTTTATTGTTGATGCTGGATGGAAATAATTTATTCATTTTAACGACTGATTAATTACCCCAGTTTCTGAACTCTCTATAGTCTCTGGTATAGTTTGCCTCATTATAGTAACATTCAGATGCACAGTCCAGAGCTCCTTCTTTATTGGTAGCTGCCGTCTTACTTCCTGGATAAATGTTGACATAACCCATCTGGATGCTTGTTTACTCAGTGAAATGATTGTGTGGCTTCTTTTATTGGCCTTATAATGGTAAAGATGCAGTTCTAATTTGAGGCAATCCTTCTTGACCAAGATGTTTTCTTTAAACATAACCACATGAAGTTTGAGTTAAAAAAATAAAAATAAAAACAGTGCGCTTAGAAGATAAAAGTTCAGGACTTGAGATGCTCCTACTCCTGTTCCAGATGTGCCAAAACACAAAACCCCTGATTAAAACCTGTCATGGTTGCTAATTTATGAGCAACAGCAGCTTTAGTGGAACCAAAAACGATCTGAAGTTATAAATTAACACCACATTTCTTTTAAAAACAGTAGTGCAGATCTTGTGACAAAGTTTTATTAAAGTTTATGAACAATTAATATCTTACCTGTTGCAGATGGCTCTTTGAATTACTTCAATTTGGAAAAATTGAGTTTAACTCCAACAACATTAATAAGCTAATCGCTAACCCGAGCATTTGCATGTAATACAACAATGTTTTTATCTTTTTTTTAATTTCATTTTAGACTGGAGCTGTTTTAGAAAAGCAGCTGTTTATTTTGGTTTTGGCCTCGATTGCTTATCAACCCAGACCAAGTTGAGTCCCATGTCTTCAACCTGAGGCTGTTTACAAAGGTATCTGCAACAGGTGAGATATTAATTGATCATAGCCTCTCCACGGAAACTCTTTTTAAAGAGGACATAATGCAAATCTGCCTTTTTTTTTAGCTGTTAAATACATTTTGTGGTGTACTTGGAGTCTCTGGTAGTACAGAAAAGTTGAAATTAGTTTCTTCCAGTGCTTGCAAAGATATCTTTATATTCTGTATGGCTCTTTTTTTTTTCAACCCGATCAGTTTTCTCTACAGTTTTCGGAATTATTACGTTGCAGTATTTGCGACTGAACTTCTGAGACAGTGTCTCCAACAAGGCTGGATGGACAAGTTTTCTGTTGTCATATTTTAATTAATTTGTAAATAAAAAGTTTTGCGCCGCTATATAGTCGTAAACTCCTCGGCCAAACTGGAATGGACCAATCTGATTTAAAAAGACAGCCTCAAAACGAGCTGATCTGAGACACACCTCAGAAAAGGGGTGAAAGCGGGGCTTGTACTGAAAGATTTTAATGTGAAAAAGGATTTAAAAGCATATGTAATGTGTAACAGTATTGTGTGCCCACAGCTAAAAAGTAGATTTATGTGTGAGTAAAGGCAGGAGGATACTCCAGCTACTGATCTCTAAATCACTTTCCATCCTGAGGCAGAATTGTGTGAATTATTTTGCTGAGCCGGAGATTTTCATGCATGAGCTCCACTCCTATTTAAGTTTATTGCAGCTGGAAACCCACAACTTTTATTTATTTTTTTAACTATTAGTTTGGTGGAAAATCCTGCCTAAAGGGCACTTAATATTTTCTGTTGAGCTGCTGGTGATCGAACAGATTTCTGTTGTAGCTAAACTAAATTAAAAAAACATCAATACTAGTATAATTAAATATCACACTTTCAGAACTTTATAAGACTATATTGTTTAAATTTGCAGCACTGTGTCTGCTTGACAATCAGACATCTGCGGCTGAAGCATAAAGTCATCTTCATTCTGTACTTGTTTTTTTTCCTTTTTTTGTAAATAGGATGTAACAGATGTGAGAGACCGCAGAGAGGCGCTTCTCACCAGACAGAAACCACACCAAGGTGAACCGCAGGGTGAGACTGGCGAGAATCCCAGATGGCTTTTCAGACTCACAGTGTCTTCGGTGTAGGAGGGTGTTGGCACGTCTCTTCTCAAATATGTACTGTGAAGATGATGGTTTAATGCCAGGAAACACACAAAAGTACAGTTTTATAACAGGGATTAGTGAATACTTTGACTCTTTGGATGCTAACTTAATGGTGCGAAATTTCACTTTCACTGAAAATCAGATCTCACCACTTCAGTAAAATCTCCACACTGCCCCCACGTTAACATGAATTTGCCCTTTTAACGGCGGCAATGATTAGACTTGTCATTTCCCCATCATCCTGCCATGTTCATGTAAAACAAGATGCTTTATCGTTTGTTTATCATAATTTTATTCAATAAAATAAATAAGGAACAAAATTCTCTTCTTGTACAGGATTAGTGGGACAAGCTCCACTGCTCAGATGAGACTTTTGTCATGGGGATAGTCAAAGCAGAAGCAACTTCTCAGACTTTCCTAAACTGTAAGTTTGGTTCATCAAGGTCACTTCCACCTGTGTGTGAAACTTGTTTCATAGTTGTAAAGTGTTCACTTTGCCTCCAGCTATCCAGTTAACCTCTAAATAAATAATAATAATAATAATAATAAT